ACACAAATGGTTTATATATTTGGGAAAAGCCAAGGGATGAGATTGAAGAAGATAAGGAAGTAGAGTGCAGTGCTTATGAAGAAGAATGCAAGCATTGATGCAGATTCAATTCCAATTCAGCTACATAACAGGTCTTAATCTTGAACCCCCACCAGGTGTAAATAATATAATGCATGTTAGTGTGATGTTTTCATTTTCTCTATCGTGTAAAACAAGACGATGATGGTCTATTGTTGTATTTGCCATGTGTTTTTTCCTATATCCAGAATGTACAGGTAAAATGTCTCTTCTATGTCCGATCCAATTCTGTTTGTGTTTGCATTTTACACTATTTTCAATATCATAAAACTCTACTGCTACTGTTAATTCTGTACGTAGCTTTCAATCGCATTAAAAGCTAATAACACGCACTATGTACTACTGCAGCCTGCAGTTGCTGTTACTAATTACACACAGTGCATATAATTAGGAGGTTTGGATATCAGCAGATCAGCCATTTTCCAGCTGATTTGACCAATTTTGACGGATTGAAGGTCAATTAGTTAAAATTAGTTTTTAGTAAAAGAGCTTGTTGGAATAGCTGATACAGTCAATAAGCTGATTTTCAAAACGCTGCTGCAAGTAATGTTTCTACTTCAGCTGGTTTCATTTCTTTTAAAGAGCAAAAATTATCCATGATCTCTGCAAAACAAATCAATTTGATCTTCATCCCAAAACTCACTTATATTCACAAATTAAAAGTTAAGAAAAAAAGCAATGGAAAACACTCTCCTCCTCCCCTCTCACAGGCAGCCGTGGAATAGAACGCAAGAAAATCCACAAATTTAAAGTAAATAAAAAATAATGGAAATGACTATTAATCCATTACAGAAGTCATCTTCATCTTCAAAAATCCAGACACAACAAACAAATAAACTATATTTTTTTAATTCACAACAAAAAAAAAAAAAAAACAAAACAAAACAAAAATAAAAACAAACCAACAACAATAGTGACGAGGTGTTGGCCCAACAAGAATAATGGAAGATCTCAAGCATAAAAAAACAACACAAGTCCCAAATCACCAAGTCAATCAAGACCTTGTGTACTAAAGGGTAGGAAGCTCTACTTATGTATGGGAATCATATTCCAACATGATAAAAGGAAAACAATTGAAGACTATATAATGCCTATCACCCCAAAGAATCAATTGTGCATTCAATTCCCTATATTCTGAGAGCTAAGAAGTATTGAGATGAGATAATTTCACTTAATTAGGAATAGTACTAGACTTAGGTTACAATAAATAGAGATAGTGTGATTAAAATTAATTGTGTAAAAGTGTTTCGAAACTCTGTATTTCAAAATTGTGCTAATAGTAAATTCAGACTTTTACTCAATACGAGCTTCGCAGATTAGATATTTTTTCAAACTGTTAAAAATCATTGTATTATAATATCCCTTCCAACATCACTGTGTGTGCAATCGTTATATCCTACACCACCGCGCACATAGCACTGTGCGCCGCGCGCCTCCCAAAACGATGTCGTTTTGGGGTAGTGTTGGGAGGCGCGGTAGGAAGTTGCTGAGATTATGTGTATTTGTTCACAACGTTATGTGTATTTGTTCACAGCGTTATGTGTATTGGTTCATACAGTTATGTGTATTTTTTATACAATTATGTACATTCTTTTTATACAATTATGTACATCCGAATCAGAAAATTTGTGTGTATTATGTTAAGAGTTGATGTGTATTATGTTAAAAGTTTATGTTTATTATGTATTATGTTAGATTATGTGTATTATCTTTTAAAAAGAGTATGTATATTTTGTTATATAATTATGTACATTCATGTATAACATTATGTGTATTCTAGTATAACATTATGTACATTCTTGAACAGCGGATTTTTTTTTAAAGAAAAAACTACTGCCATTCACTGGGACGGGAAATTTCAAAAAAAAAAAAAATTAAAACGACGTCGTTTTGCATCTGGGCGCATAGTGCAACGCGCACCGTGATCTAAGATATAAATTGCCCTGTGTGTGTCACACTGTTACCCTTTATTTATTTCAATAATTGATGGGCATGGGTGGTCTTGTATTTGGCCCCAACTTAGGCAATTGGGCTCAGTCTAGGTGGTTGGCCCAAACCCATTTCGATTTGAGACTTGGGGTACAAATCTAGCTTCTCACTTATGAAAAGTACTATTTTTTTTTTTTACGAGATAATGCCTAATAAATCAAAATAATATGAACCATTTATTTTAAGAAAAAATTATCTCAACATTTTTCTTATTCTAGTTAAGAGTCTAACATTATTGACTCTTATTAGAATTGTAGATGTAGATTGTAGACAACAAGAAGGATTTTGGTCAAATTTCCAAGATTACTTTCCTTATATTCAAAGAGATCACATTTCTTGTGTTTTAGAAGATAAATTTGTAATTAACGCCCAAAATTTGTGGGATTTGTTGTTGTTGTTGTTGTTTTTTTTTTTTTTTGTTTTTTTGTTTTTTTGTTTTGTTTTGTTTTGTTTTTTTTTTTTTTTTTTTTTAATTCAGGTCTAGTTAGTTGATTGAGCATTATAAATACCTAAGAAAAGGATTTGTAAGTGTTTCAAAAGCTTTTTCTACTTTTTTTTTTTTCAAATTTCCTTTGCAATATACTTTTTTTATTGATTGTGGTAGTAAGCCGTTGACTATTTATTCTTAAAACCAACAATAATATAATGATCCTAGATACTCGGATGCATGTGCAAACCCTAGAAACAACAATAAGAGCATCTCTATTTGTGTGTTTTGGGGAGATTTTGGAACAATAAAATTCAAAGGTGAAGATTTTAGACAAATGGGAAATAAAGCTTTTCATTGTTTTTGTTCTCTGCAACACCTTGAGATTTTGTAGAGATTAAAAAATAAAAAATAAATAAAAACAAAAAAATGCAAAATAGGCGCATGCACTTCGCACCCCCTGGGGCGGTTCAGAGTGGCCACTCTGAATAAATTAATGCTTTTATATATATATATATATATATATATATAATTTCGTCCCCTCCCTTTTTTTTTGCTTTGCCTTTTATTTTTTTTTATCTCCTTCCCCATTTTCTCCTTCCTAATCACACCTACAAAAACTCCTCAAAAATTACACCAAAATCCCCACTATTGAAGATGCCCTAAAGAAACAAGATATATTCTTTCGGTCTTGGTCATCGTATTGATGTTTTCATCTTTTATGTAACTTTATTTGATGTAAGAAAAAGCAGTGATGAAGTGATGGAAACTGGTGCATGGCTACTTATCATGCATGCAACTAACCCTGTATATAGTCCAGTCAATTATAGGGATGCCAAACTTTCCAACAAGTTGAAGAAGGCGTACTGCGTACTGAAGAGATCGAAGACCTGCGACGACGTGACTCGCATAGAATTAGAATATAATCTGCACTCCACAGATTAGTGCTGTGGTGGATTACAGTTGTAAGGATATGATAATCATTCATCATATATTTAGTGCTCTTTTGTGTTGTCACAAAATAAAGCTATCTTTTTTTTTTTTTTTTTTTCTCCCAGGATGGCCTACGATGTTTTGATGTTTGTACGTAGAAACATCTCTCCTCCTTCAATTCCATGCATTATCCTTTAATTTCAGCTCATATTAATTGTCTGCAATATATGTATATATTATAATTAAATAATATAAGTGGGATGATTAAAGCTAAGCGGTCCACGTACAACAAATTAATTAATTTGATGAGAATCTATATCTTTATTTTCCGGCCGGCACGATAGATGCAATATAATGAAAAGAAAGCAACGTGAAACATATGTATACATTCTTCCAAAAGGCTAAACCCTAATCCTAAGGGCTCCCACACCCCGGCCCAACAGAGCATTTGTGAGAATGTAAATCATGGTGACTCAACTAAACATGAATCATAGAGGCTAGACCGGTGCTCACTGCGCACAAGGAGCCCCCCTCACTTTGAGAGGTTGCTCCCACACTGCCGCTGGTGAAACTCGAAAGATGAACGACGACCATATATAGCTGCCCGCAAGCCGCAACTTTACTGTACTGTACTGATGAATAATAATGATGATATGAAAGAAAACACCAAATCCTTAATTAATTAAGGGATAAGGGTCAAATAGACCCTTGAACTATAGACACATGTGCAATTAGGCTCTTCAACTTTTTAAAAATTCAATTAAATCTTTCAATTTGTTATTTTGAGTAAAAAAAACCCAATAACAGATTATTCACTTGCAATAACCGGTCAAAAAATTCAACTACATATCCGGTAATTATTCCGGCGACAAAAAAAAAAAAAAAAAAAAAAAAAAAAAAAAAAAAACTACCGGAGAAGACAACCGTTCGATCGTCTCTCCGGTGGAGAAGACGACCAGACTGGTCGCCTTCTCCATTGGAGAGGACGACCGAACGGTTGCCTTCTCGAGAAGACGACCGGACCGGTCATCCTCTCCAATGGAGAAGGCGACTAGACTGGTTGCCTTCTCCATTGGAAATTGGAGAGGACGACCTCTGGTCGCGACCAGCCTCTCCCGGAGAAGAAGACGTCACGATTGGACGTCGTCTTCTCCTAGAGAATTTTTTTATTTTATTTTTCTGTCAATCACCAGTGTTTTCGGCGGTTAACATCAATACTTTATTCGTAACCTGTTGATTACTTGTAATTAGGCTTCTTTGATTCAAAATAGCAAGTTGAGAAGCTTAATTGAACTTTTTAAAAGTTGAAGGGCTTAATTACACTTTTACCTATAGTTCAAGAATCTATTTTACCCTTATCCCATTATTATTAATTAATAAAGTCTGGGCGGCCTATCACAAAAGACATGCATGCAGTTGCCAACTCAGACCAAATAAAAGTAGTACGGAGTAGAAAATTGAGCACTACTACTACAGTACTACCACTTTACTACTAAATAATTTGGAAACTAGACTAGCGATGCAAATTAAAACCATTAACTGGGAGCCCGGCCCGGCCATTTATAAATACAAAAACCCATCCACCATATCCTTGGGGCATTTTACTGCTGATACATACGCCACAGATCGAAAATGGCCAATTATTAGACAATATTATATTTTTTTTCTCAAGAGTGCTGGCCTGGCATATATATATGAACATCATTTCATATAACCAGGCTTGTTCACTCATCAACTACATACCAATTTCACATTTGCTTATCAATCTGCCTCTTCAATTCTCTCCATCGATCGGCTAAACAGTATGTCTATTTTTGTGTTCCATATATCCGTGTTTTTCATTCATGCATGTATGTATATATGTAACACAGTAGTTTAATGAATTGAATTTCCTGTATCTATTTTACTCAGATCGACCAGCAATTAAGAGGCCGGACAGCAGAAATACACAGACAGACATCAGCTATGCATTCCCTACAACATAATTAAGACAGCCGCCGCGAGTGCCAGGTACGTATGTAATTAACAACGTATAACTATATATGTTTGTTAGTTTCTTGATCTAAACGTACTAATTAATGCCGTCTCTATTCCTCTCACATCTAAGGGTTCTCTAAGAATATCTCCATGCATGCTTTCATTTTTGTCCACCAAAAATGGAGGGTTAGTTTTTGGATAGAAATCTTTCACTCCCTATGTGAGCAAGGAAAATAACGGCTCGAAATTAAATTTCTATCTACTTAAAAAAATCCACAGAAAATTAAAATGTATGAACACTTCAACATGGTTGTGCCTCGCGTGGATCAGCATGATCTTTTTCATATTTGTTGAGACCCACTTTAAAATGAAAAACCAAGGTTACATTCTTGCAGAACAATCTCACACATTCTAGCTCGCTCATATTTTTCTCTCTTCCACCTATGTCTGGCCCCCACAAAAAACCAGCTAAAAACAACCTATTGTGGATGCCCAATTGTGTTTAGCCCAATTTTTAAGAAAAAATAAAACGTTTTTTTTTTCTTCTCTTTTAAAAGTGATGATCCATATAGAAAAATGAAGAGTAATGGTAAATATTGTAAAATAACAAAAACATTGATAAATACATAAATGAAGTGTAATGAATAGTGTATATTCTCTGTACGTAAGTCCTTTCTTCTTTTATTTATTTATTTTCCTCCTCCTTTTTTTTTTTTTTTTTTTTTCATTCTCCTCTTCGTGTGTGTATATATATGTTTAGGTTCATGTGATATCATATATTTCCAAGAAAACTAATAACCATACGAATCAGATTAAGTTTTTTTAAAAAATACAGTAGCATTATTGTAATTATCACCAATTATACCGTGTAACTTTTAACACTCTATAGTGCACTTTTTAACAATAGACAATGCATTTCTAGATAACTTTAAAAAATATTAACGTAAAACAAAATTTTAAACTAAAATCATAAATACTATCTTGTGCTCAGATGACACCTCTGTGGTTCCCTTTGAGGAAATGTCACAGGATCGAACTTCGGTGGTAAGGTATTAACTCTTTGGTCTTCAACAGTTTGAGAAAGTATAGAACAAATACTAACTTGTAATAAGGTTAATAGTAAGACTGAGATTGGTTCTTAATTTCAATATTTTGTCCACCTTTAGATAGTTGGAAAAGTAATGGTAAAATTTCCTTGCCTTAAAATTTTCAACAATTTTGTTTTTCATTAGAAATTTTGTGCCTACCTTTGAGCCACCTTTTTAATTTTCGTTCACTTATCAAGTTTGATATTAAATCTCTACCCACCTTTCAATCCATTAAAATCTATTTCATCACCATTTTGAAAGAAAATTGCTTGTGGTAAAAAGGACAACAATTTTCATCTACTTTATGGTAAATGAAAAAAGTGGTTAGAAATGGGTGGTTGAGTGAGTAGAGTGTGATTTTTGTATTTAAAAGGTTATACATAAGTTTAATTTTTGCTAATATCTTTTCAATTGAATCTTTTACATAAGGTGTTTCTAATGTAAGTTATAATTTACATATAACTTAATTAGCTAGGATTTCTTTGCCTTTATTTAGATGCTAAATATACATTCCTATCCCACTTTATTTGTTACATATATTATTTAAATATCAAACTAATTACTTGGATATAGAATTTAGGATCAATTAAAATTTTAAACCTCGAAAGTGAACCATAAAGATTTGGAATAATTTTTTTGAAATTAATATAATTTGATCATCACAAATTATGAAGAAAGAATATAATAGAAATGTCATTCTAGTTTGGTTGGATTACACAAATTACATAATGAATTGTATTCAAATGTTTGATTGGTCAGTGAATAAAAAAGGAAATATAGTCAAATGGAAAAAAAAAAAAAGAATTAATTTCACTTTTGGTCCCACGACTTTTGATGTTCTATCACTTTTGGTGCACAACTTTAAATTTTTTTAATTTTGGTGCCTAACTTTGTTATTTTTATCAATTTTGGTCCTTCCAGCCAAATTGACGGTAAAATATTTCTGGATTTTATATTTTAGGGGCAAAATCGCCATCCCATGGAAAGATCTTCAATATTTAAACAAAAGAAAAACCATATTAAGAGGAAAAAAAAGAGTTTGCCAATGGTCGAAACTATAAATCCCATAGATCTGTTTGGTTTCTGCCCGTCTTCCACATTATTCTCATCATCAAACACATATAGATATGATTTTACAGGATGATTTTGTTTAGATATTGAAGATGTTGCCTTGGGATGATGATTTTACCCCTAACAATATAAAATCCAGCAACATTTCGCTGTCAAATTCGCCAAAAGGACCAAAACTGATAAAAATAACAAAGTTAGGCACCAAAATTAAAAAAATTTAAAGTTGTGCACCAAAAGTGATAGAACATCAAAAGTCGTGGGACCAAAAGTGAAATTAATTCAAAAAAAAAAATGGTCCTCTGACTTTATGTTAATATTCCTTTTTTTTTTTTTTTTTTTTTTTTTTTTGAAAAAATGTTAATACTTCTTTTAATCTTAGGCTTTCAATTCGACCAAATCACATATCTTACTTTCATTTTTTATGTTTTTTTTTACCACAAATAATCCTTCGTTAAGATTTTTGTTAAATGAGTGTTAAATCTAGAGGTATTATTGTTAAATTAATTAATATGATTATGATTACCTCTTTTAATAGCAACATAATTAATTTCAAAGATTAATAAAAATTAAGTTAATGAATATAAACGTCATATTGTAAAATGAAAAGCAACATTATTATTATAAATATAAAAGTCATATTGTAAAATTATTATTGAGAAGAATAATATTTTAGCTTTAAAATATGAGAATAATTTATATGTTTATAATAATTTTACTTTTCATTTTACAATATGACTTTTATATTCATTAACTTAATTTTTATTAATATTTGAAATGAATTATGTTTCCATGTAAAAGAAAAAGGCAATTATAACCATATTAATTAATTTAATGATAATACCCCTAAATTTAACACATATTTAACAGAAATCTTAACAGAAGACTATTTGTAACAAAAAAAAAAAAAAAAAAAAAATGAAAGTCAAGATACGTGTTTTGATCAAATTGAAAGTTGATAACTAAAAAGAGTACTATTACAATATTCAGAAGAGCATTTGTGGTATTAATTCTATAAATTAATATTATAAACAATACTTATTAATTTATTTATTTGATATATGCATACCCATATAATAATTTATACACACACAAACAAAAATATATGCATATGTATAGATAATGATATGTATGTGTATGTATGTATATACCTAAATAAATAAATATAATAAAATAAACATAAATAATAATAAGGATATTTTAGTCATTGTAATAAAAAAGATACCATGGGGATCTTAGGAGCGGATATTATCATTGCAAAAGAAATAACCAATTCCATGGAATTGTATTCCATGACATACATTTATTAACCAAACAAATATAATAGTATTATTCCATGAAATGCTTTTTTTGTTTAATGTCTACAATCTAACCTATCAATAGTAACTGCTCCATATAATATGTTAATCTTTAAATTAAGATGGAACACGAACTTATGACTTTCCGTTTGGAATTATAACAATAATGTTATCAAACTACAAAGTACTTGGCATGAAATGCTATTTGATTCCTTGTTTATTCCATGTACCAAACAGTCCAAACTCCCAACGTCACCTAATAGAATAGGCACTAAATTAATTAGAATAAAAGTTAGATGGTAGCCAATCATGGTTAATCAAGCCTCACACATAGGGATGACAATTTCAATTGATCCTGCGGATATTCATCCCGCATAAATCAAACTTTTTTGGGTAATAGCTGGTGGTGAGCTGAGGCGTGTCTTAAAAAATTAAACACGCATACCCGTATCCGGTAAAGAGGGATGAATTTTAAAACAATCCACCCACTGCGAGTCAAGGGTGAGAGTGTGTAGAAAAAGGAGTGAATTTGGTAATGAATTTAATCACTCCAACCCATTGTCATCCCAACTCTGGCATTAAGAGAATTGAGTAATTAACTGATTACTAAACAATTTTGCAGGTAATAAAAAGTATAGAATAGGCAGTAATTATGGCGGATCCAATTGGGCCAATAGTTGGGACCATTTTCCAAGGGTTGCAAGAACAAGTTAAAACCCAAGCCCAATATGCCCTCAACTTCAAAGAGCAGTTCAAAGAGATGCAGACACAACTTGAACTCATGCAAGCATTCCTCAACGATTGTAAAGATGACAAAAGTAAGTGCCAAACTGTGAAGACAGCCTCAAAGCATCTGCGAGAATTAACGTATGTTGCAGATGACGTTGTCACCGGCTGCCAAATCAGGGAAGACTACAAGAGAGCAATTGAGAGTACATTCTGCTTACCTTCTTGCAAGGAAGTTGTCTACCGCTGGGACACGGGCAGGAAGCTGACAGAAATTAACCAGCAACTTCAGAAGATGCATAAAAGGCATGGGCTTCTTGAGTCAGTTGGTCAGAGATCTTCTAAGCCTCCTGCTCCTCCTAGAAGAAAAACCACCCCGTTAGTGCCACACAAAATAGTTGGGCTAGAAAAAGAGACTGAAAAAATAACAAACTGGATGTTTACTGGCAATGTCTCATTTATTGGCATTACAGGAATGGGGGGGTTGGGTAAAACCACAATCGCCCAAAAGGTTTTCAACCATAAGCAGGTCAAAGACCGATTTAAAAAAAGAATTTGGGTTTGTGTAGCTCAAACTTATGATGCGGTTGAGCTGGAGAGGAGTATCTTGGATATGCTAGGGGTGGAATATAAGGGATGCAATGAAAGTGACCTGCAAACAAAAATTTCTGAATTTCTCTTGGCAAATAATACCTTAATTGTGTTGGATGATGTGTGGACGCTAAAAGGTGGTTGGTGGACTCTGATATCAACCGCATTTCAGGAAAGAGCCAAGCATAACGGATGCATCATTGTCACGTCCAGAAATAAGCAAGTCATAAAAGATATGGTAGCACATGGTGGCTTTAACAATGTAGAAATCCACGAACCCAAGTTGCTGAGTAAAGTGGAAAGCGAGAAGTTATTCTGCAAGTTTGTGTTCGGCCAAACCAAGACCAAGTTCAACAAGTGTGAATTAGACAAGGTGGGGAAGGAGATTGTACACAAGTGTAATGGTCTCCCATTAGCAATCAAGATAATTGGAGGTGTTATGAGTGGTGTTAAACCACGGACACCTGCCGAATGGAGGAAGAAATGTGAAAAGTTTCGTGAAGTAATAATTAAAAAAATTGAAGGCACAGTTAGTGTTATAGATTCATTGCAGTTGAGCTACGACGAGCTTCCAGATCATCTAAAGCAGTGCCTTTTATGTTTTGCAATTTATCCAGATGATCATGAAATAGAAGTGGAACAACTGAAGCGTTGGTGGGTAGGGGAAGGTTTTGTTCGAGGCACTGAAATTCCAAATGAAGAAGCCTACGAGTATCTGTTGGAGTTGATCAATAGGTGTTTGGTTGAGGTTACAAAGAAGGGAGACTTTGATGGAAGAGTGCACAAATGCAAGATGCATGACATGGTTCGAGAAATGGTAATCCGAAATGCAAAAGATGAGGCATTCTGCGACTTCAATAACACAGGCAAGCATATAGCCACAGCCAATTCTCTGCATTTGGGTGTCACAAAGGACACATCTTTCCAGTCATTGAATGGAAACGAGAAGCTGAGGGCACTTATTCTCACCACATGTGATTCCATTGGGTTCAATAAGCGAATTGCATTGGCAAAAGTCAAGACTCTCAGGGTGTTGGACCTCTCACGTCTAAAGCTAGATGGAATCAGTGTGGACCACCTTTGGCACTGGATCACATCCCTAAAACTCCTAGCTTATCTGAATCTTCAGGATGTGGTAGGCTTGGAGGAAATCCCACCCTCGATTCAAAAGCTTTGGGGCCTTCAGATTCTCATCCTAAATGGATGCGAAAGTCTTGGAAGCCTACCATCGCCAATGCCATGCTTTCCAAGATTAAAAGTTTTGGATGTTAGGAATTGTTCATCTCGTTTGTGGATTCCACAAGGCCTCTCTACACTCTCTACTCTTCAAGAGCTTTATGGATTCAAGATACCAAAAGGAAATGAAAAAGAAGCCTGTGGACTGGACGGCCTCAAGGAAATGAAGCAACTTGAGGTGTTACATGTGGACATAATGAAAGGAAGCCTGATTCAAGGTCACGACTTGACAGCACTGGGAAGTCTGGAAAAGCTGAGGGTACTATCAATTAATGCCAATGGCATTACAGATGATGAATTGTTACAAAAGTTGAAGAAGTTATGTGTGCCCTCAGGTTTAAAACATTTGTATCTAAGGCGCTTCTGCCTAGAAGATACACCAGCATGGATAAGCCCTTCTTCACTGCCCCAGCTGCAATTTCTTTGCATCGAGGACTCGAAAGAGCTCACCCAATTCAGCGAAAACTTCCATGAGGGTCAGTGGATGGTAGAAGGAATGTCTTTGAAATTCTTGCCTAAGCTGGAGGTGGAATTGGAATGGTTGCAGAAGGCAATGCCTCAACTTAGGTACTTAGAAGTTAGCCACTGCAACACGTCAAAGTCTTCTACTTTTCTCAGTGATGATTTATATACTTGGGAACAACCAAATGAAGAAGAGATGGAAGAAGACAAGGAACTAGAGCACAATGCCTATGAAGAAGATAAGGAAGAAGAATGCAATACCCGTGAAGATTGAAGCAGTGCACCAGAAGGAAGATACAAGCATTGGTGCAGATTCCAATTCAGCTACGTACCAAGTCTTAATCATGAACCCCAACCAGGTGATCGATTGTTGCATGTTTTCTGAAATAAATAATGCATGTTAGTGTGATGTTTTCATTTTTTCTATCGTGTAAAATAAGATGATGATGCTCTATTGTTGTATTTGCCATGTGTATTTTCCTATATCCAGATTGTGCATGTAAACTGTCTCTTCTATGTCCAATTCTGTTTGAGGTTGCATTTTACACTATTTTCAATATCATAAAACTCTACTGCTACTGTTAGTGCCGTACGTAGTTTTCAATCGCATTAAAAGCTAACTCGCACTATGTACTACTACTGCAGTTGCTGTTACTAATTACACACAGTGCATGTACAATTAATCTAAATCTTATATAAATCAAGTGAGTCCTTTATAATAATAAATTCTAAGCATGCTCGTCGGATTAGCTTCACTAGACATACTGCATTGGCAAAAGTCAGGAGTCAAGCGTTTTGGACCTCACATATATTAAGCTAGAGAGCATGGGTATTTGTGAGGTCTGACCTGTTGCACTGGATCACATCCCTCAAACTCCTAGCTTATCTCAACCTTCAGGTGGTGGAGAATTTGAAGGAAATGCCACAATTGATCCACAAGCTAATGAAGCTATGTTGGAAATTGTCCATCTCTTTCATACCTCCCCAAAGGTCTCTCAAAAAACTCTATACTCTTCAAGAGCTTTATGGATTCAAGGTACCCAGTCCAAAGAGACCTGAAGCTTGTCTATTTAGTGAGCTGAAAAAACTGAGGAAACTTCAGGTGTTACAGGTGGACAGAACAGAAGATAGCAAATTTCAGGTTGCCAATTTGGTAGCACTGGAAACACTTAAGCACTCAATGATGCAGGCAATTGTGAGGACAAGGGTATCTTAGGAATGTTGGATGAGTTATTCCACCTTGTGTAGAACAGTTGTATCTAAGGCACTTTTGTGGAGAAACAACACCAGCATGGATAAGCCCTATTTCACTTCCTGAGCTGCTATATCTTTGTATCAAAGACTCAAAACATCTCACTCATATGAATAAAATACTTGGGAAAAACCCAAGGCAAGATGATGATGGTGAGAAAGAATCATGAGAGGAAGAAAAACACCATGAAGCACCAAGTAAAATGGAAGGAACTACCTATTAGTGTTCAGGATTCCAGCTCTGAATAATTAGCAGGTGCCTGGCTAGTCAAGTGCTTATCATGTCTTTTATTAATATCATTCTTGCAAAGGATGTGGTTTTCTTTCCACTAGGTTAATAATTAGCAGTGTGAAAAATATTATCTGTTAATGTATAATTCACATTCTGCTATCATTTGTAATCTTTTGCTAAATAATTTGTATTCGAGCTACTTGTATTAATGTTAGTGTATTGAGATTTGTGTATGTACTACATATTACATCTCCAGAATTAGAATTGACATACCAGAGCAATTACGACAGTGAAAAGGCACTTTCAGATCTTCCTGTACAAAATCTACTTCACCTTCAACACCATCATCATCACCATAGCCATGCTGACTCTCCTGGCGTATTCTTCTTTTGTTTGCTACAAAAGTCTCTTTGCTTTTTCTTCTTTTCTACTTCTATTCACAATCATATCTAGGCAAGGAGGTGGAGCTACAATAGTTAAAACAATAAGAAAGTGAGGGATTCTGCAAATACAAGCAAATTCTAAAACAAACACAACAATGGCTAAGCAGTATACTCTGGTTCGTTTCTTCTCAAAATTACCATGATTTGATAAAATTATCAAAGATCAAAAAAGTTACCATCCTTCCTCCAAAGACCATAATTTACTATCCTATGACCATTTCTTGATGCAAATTGCAAAGTATAATTTCCTTCCTATTCAACCAAAGTGGTTATAGCATCTTTGTCATTTTTTGCCATGTCTCTCTGATTGAGAGAGACATATAATAAGGGTGTGTTCATGGTGATGTATATGGTTTAGATTTCTTTTTAAAAATTTAAAAAAAAAAAAAAAAAAAAATTGGTCAAAAAATGTAAAATATCACTTATCCAATTAGTCATATACAATGATTCAATGTCCTCTCTTCTTTTCTGTAAGGAATCCCTCAGCTTGAACGTGAGTTGATGTTATATTGAGTATATGATGGTCCTGAATTCAACAGGAACATGCTATGAACACTTGGCAAAAGAGTGTTGTGACATGCATTCCAAGGTTACTTGTTTTATTTATCAGCAGAGGTAATCAAACATAATTCATTCCAAACTACTATATTACTCCATAGTTTGGTTGCTGAATGGCAGTTCACACATGCCCTTAGGTTTCTTCTCATCCTAAGCATAGCCCCTGGAGTATTGATAAGCCCCATAAGAAATTGCTGTCTCTAATTATGGTTGCAGAGAGCCATGTCTTTGCCTTCCTCATCTAAATCATGCAAAGCAGATTCCTTATCTGGGATAAATAAAGTTCTCTCTAAACTCTCAAGCCCTTTTTATATCTCCATTGATTTTGGATGGGATTTATCTCCCATACAGAAAGCATTTAGCTTGCCATTGATTTCAATCATACTACATCCCTGGTCCTTAATCAATCCCTTCTCCTTCATCAACATTCTTACCTTACCAACTCCATCCCACATATGCACCGAGGCATAAAGATTTGACAACTGCACATAATGACCTCGGTTAAGTGGATCTAAAGCAAAAAGTCTTTTTGCAGCAAATTCACCCAGTGTCACATGTCGATGGATCTTACATGCGCTCAATAGTGCTCCCCAAACTGAAATAGATGGTTCAATTGGCATTCTCATGATAAAGTCACGGGCCATCTCTAAATATCCAGCACGCCCCAACAGGTCAACAACACAAGCATAATGTTGGTGGCAAGGTTCAATTCCATAATCTCTCATACTGTGGAGAAATTCCCATGCCTCTTGCACAAGTCCTGAATGATTGCATGCCATAAGGAGCCCAAGGAAAGTGACACCATTTGGGGACACCTTTGCCTGTTTCATTGCATAGAAAAGATCAATAGCTTCTCTGCCCTGACCATGTGAACCATAAGCTACTATCATAGCACTCCATAGAACAACATCTTTATTTGCTGTCCGATCAAATACTTTGCATGCCAAATCTACACATCCACATTTTGCATACATGTTAATAAGAGCTGTATTAACAACAACATCATTTTGGTATTTGCTACTAATGACATAATCATCCACCCATCTTGCTAGATCCAGTGATCGTACTTCTGCACAAGCCAGAATTGTAGACTGTATAGTCACAGAATCAGGTTTAATATTCTTTGCTATCATCTGATGGAAAAGCTCAACAGCATCATTAGCATGACCTTGTTTTGCAAACCCAGATATCATGGCATTCCAAAGAATCACATCCCGGTCCTCTAATTCACTGAACAAAGAATTTGCAACCATCACTTGGCCACATTTAGAATACATCGCTGTAAGGGCTACCCGCAAGTCCTGCTCAAACTCAAGTCCCATTTTAATCACCAGAGAATGAACACATTTACCTCCTTCCAAGTCCTCTACATCAGCATAAGCCCTCAGAACATTAACAAGTACAACCCAGTCAGGTTCCACGTTCAATCCTCTCATTTCACTGAAAATTTTCAGAGCATCATAAGGCTGTCCATTCTGAGCATACCCTGAAATAACTGAAGTCCATGAAACAATATTTCTATCATGCATCCGGTCAAACAAAACACGGGCACGAACGACCTTTCCACATTTGGTGTAAAATGCAACAACACTGTTTTGCACAAAAACATCAGACTCAAACCCTAGTCTGTAAACCTGTCCATGAACAGCGCGACCGACCTGAAAAGCCGGTAAGTCACCGCAAGCCTTTAGAATGTAAGGTAATGTAAAGCAGTCGGGCCTCTCAAATACGTGTTGCATTTTTCTATACGTTTCAACGGCCTCGCTGTAAAGATCATGTCTTGCATACCCTCTGATAATTGCATTCCACAAAAACACATATGGTTCGGGAAATGCATCGAACAGCTGGCGGGCATAGCCGATTTCGCCGAGATTTGAACACACATGGATGAATTTAGTGAATATGAAGCCATTGTTATGTAGTCCGGCTACGTATAACTGGGCGTGGATTTGGTTTAGATGACACTTGTGCTTCGAGTTTTCAAGAAACGAAGTGTAGTAGGACTCGGGACCAGTGAAGCTGTAGTAATGGTATAATGTATCTGAATTGCACCCCAAAGAAGAGAACGAAATGCGCAAATTAATAAATGAGGCAGAAAATTCGAAAGGGATTGTAGAGTGGAGAAAGGAAAATGGAAGGATGTGAAGAGTTGGGAGCGACCGTCTGAAAGAGAGATTCAGAGCCATTTATGTTGTTTTCTTATGTATTGATATGAACAATGATATGATGAAAATTTGGTCATTTATGATCTTTTTATTTTTTTTTGAATGTCACTTACTCTATTACACTGTAGTATCTATTCAACCGAATGAATAATTTAATAGATGATAAATGAATTCCTTATATACAGAAGTAATGACACCGATTTATCTTTTTCCGTGATTATTAGATAAGCTAAGATTAATATATAAACAAAGCAAAAATAAAAAACATGTTCCATTACTTTCAACATGTCCAATATTATCTGATATATACAATCCTTTGTTGGAAAGGTGACTAACTAGTCACCTTCTCCAACCACCGGAGAAGGCGACCAGTTGGTTTGCCTTCTCCTTCCCGAATAAGGCGACCAACTTGGTCGCCTTTTTAGGCGAAAGGAGAAGGCAAACCAATTGGTCGCCTTCTTAGGCGAAGGAAAAGGCAAATCAGTTGGTCGCTTCCTCCCATCGACTTAATTACAGAATAACATGTAATAATTATAGGTTATCAATTGATTTCGAGGCTTAAATATTTTAAAATAATATGTTTATGGATTTAATTACAACTTCTAAAAATTTAGAGGCTAAATTAACTTTTTTAATAAAGTTTAGAGTACTATTTAATCTTTTTCTCACAATTTTTTTTTTTCCTCTCTCTCACTTGCATGTTAACAAAAACTTGGCTAAAACCCCTCAAAAAGAGCGGTTAAGGTTGCTATTAGGGACAACTCTAATTCATAAGCAATTTAAGTACCTGCACACCCCTTCCGGTAATCCGGACCATGTGTTATTAATTATTTTATTATATTATATTTCTTTTGATATTTTTATCAGCTAAGATCAGCGAATTAACAGAAACAAATTTCTTTAAAAAATAATTTGAACTATAGATAATATAGTTCTTCTCGTATAGTCGTGTAGAGTTAGGATTTGGTTATTTTGAAAGTTTCAAACCCTAACTTAACTAACTCTAGAACTGGGAAGATCAACCTGATATCACGTACCGGCGAAAAAGCAAAACTACAATTCGATCAATGGAAACCAGATCTGCTAAGAGGAAAAGGCTGTTGAATCGAGTCCGTTCTTCACCCGGCGGCGATGACCGTCTCAGTGATCTCCCCGATGCTATTCTCCACCACATTCTTTTCCTCCTCCCCATCAAAACCGTCGCACAAACCAGCGTTCTCTCGAAGCGATGGAGGCAGCTCTGGTACTCCTTCCCCGATCTCGATTTCACCACCATCAACCCTTTCGCCAATGCGCCCGTCAAAATCAGCTCCACCGGCCGGAAAAAAGTGCATTCCTGGATCGCCAACGGAGCCGACTCCATCAATCAGGTCTTGGCTCTCCGCGACCGGAATTCCCCGATAAGAGCGCTCCGTTTCCGTGCTCACGTCACCTTCTCCCGCCTCAACCGCCTCATGCGCCGCGCCGTGAAGCTCAACGTTCAGGAACTCGACATCGAGGTTGCGACGAACGATTATTTCAATTTCCCTCGGAGTGTCATTTCCTGCGAGACGTTAAGGGTTTTCAAGCTCAAGTCTCGTTATCCCGGATTCAGATTGCCGCCTTCTCCCATCATGAAAGGTGGATTTCAATCGCTTCACACATTGTCCTTGTCTTATATCATCTTGTACGATCAGCCTTCGCTTCTGAATTTGTTCACGGATTCGTCTTTTCCTTTGCTCAAGAAGTTGAACCTCGACGGGTGCAACGGGCTAATGCATCTGAACGTCAGTTGTCGGGCGCTGGAAGAGTTAAGTCTGGAGAATTGTTGCCAGCTCGAGTATTTGGATATTGTGGGTTCAAAGCTGGAGAGGTTACGAGTGATAAGCTGCTTCGATTCCTATAGCAATGACAGTTTGGTTAAAATTGATGCCCAAAGACTCCAATCCATTTTCTGGTCCAACAATACCATCACTGATAAATGTTGTTTACAGAATTTAGTTTCATTGCATGGGGCGTTCATTGGCTTCTTCATCCTTTTCGAGGACCTCAGTGCGGTGAAGCTTCGCAGCGTATCCAATTTTTTGTCAGGGATTGCTTCTTCCCAGTGCTTAATTCTCGAATATCAATGTGTTGAGGTATATTTTTTACTTTAATTTGTTCTATATATATCCAGTTCCAGCCTAAATATTTTTGTATTCATTATATTCAATCATTATATTTCTTTCTGGATTGTGATGTTGCATACAGATTCTATCAAAGAACAATCACATTGCAGGTGTCTCGCTGTGTAATTTCAGCAAACTCCAATCCTTGGAATTACACACTGGATTCAACAAGCACAACATTCCAGGATTAGCAAACCTGTTCAGGAGTGCTCCAGCTATCCACACACTCATAATCAAGATTATCAACGATCACAATGTCGAAAGAAGAGTTAGTTCACATCAATTTTATTTTTTTTCTTTTGTCATATATCCTCAGGGTTCGAATATAGCTAGGTTAACACATTGTTATTACATACCCAATTTCAGCCATGGAACAGGGACCTATGGCAGCTATCTAGCACTGTGGAAGAGAGGTTCTGGGAGTCACAAAGTCAAGTGATGAAGTCCTTTTTGCAGCACCTAAAGGTTGTAAAGATTCATGGATTTTCGGAGTGCGAGAACGAGATTAGCTTAGTGAAGTTCCTGCTGAAGCATGGAAAAGTGTTGGAAGAAATGTTCCTATACGGAGGATTTTCCAAGTCCAGAGACTCACTACACCGAGAAAAAATAAAATCTCAGATAATGGGATTTTCTCGTGCTTCTGGTAATGCTAAGATTGCATTTGACTAGTTAACCCAACCCATGCCACCCTAGCTAGCTAGCTTGCAATAACTTCATCATCTAAACAAAGTTAGTGATCTGATCTGATTAACTTTCGGAGGATTTGGGTTTAATATTATTTGAGATGAGAACTATTATTCTGATCTGATCTTGACACAATTTTGTACTTGTAGCTCTCTCCCTCAATTGCATATCTTCTGGATTTGGATTGGGTTTCCTTTCATATTTTTGTTTTGCTGTTTGTGAATTAAATTAGTTTTTAAGACATTTTCACTAACTTCATCATAACTAATCATTGGTGTCGCTTCTTATTGAGTTTTTACTGCAGGTGCTATACAATGAAAATATATGAGAAAAGTTTTTACTATTAAAAAATTATTATTAGACTACTATGGTGTAGGACATGTTAGAATTCTCCTTAATATAATATGTATCATATACACACACAAAAACTGAAGAAAAAGTGACGAAATAACAATTCGTCAACTTTTTGCATGTTTGCTAAACTTTGTACCCACTGCCGGAAATTATTGAATTTTCGACCACCTGAAAGTGATCTCAAATTAAGTCGAAAGCAAAAAGTGGTCGAAAATAGTAACAAAGGTTTTTTAAGTTCACTTCCAAGTAGTCGAAAATTTCATAATTTCTAGTAGTGACCAAACGATGAGTCTAACACAGAGCAGTTTGAAGCCAGGCTTCAGATTCCTGCATGAGTTGAGGGCTCAATCTGAACATGAGCACACAAAACTCCATTTGATCGAGAGCTCCGTCGCCGTCCAGATCTCCCTCTTTCACCATGCTCCGCAACTCATCATCCTTTAAATCTGGGAGCCCAATAATGGCGGAGTTCTTCTTCAGGCTCTCGAAGGTAATGACCCCTTTGTCCCTGTCCATTAGCAGACTGAACCCCTTGCACAGCTCTTTGATCAGTCCATCTCCGCCAAGCTTATCGGCCATCATCGGCAGCATGTCTTGGAATTCATTGCCCTTTCTTCCTGCCATTTCTTTTCTTTGCTACTCTAAATGGGAGCAATATAATGTGAGTATTGGAAAAGGCATAGGTTTTCAATATAAAGGGAAGTATATTGGAGGAATGTTCCAGGAAAGAGACGAAGGACCATTGTGGTGGATGGATGCGGACAAGGGAACGAAGTTAATCGCTTATCGGTTTCGGATTCTCGTGGCAATGAAATTGCCCATCTCCTTCCTAGAAGAAGCATTGGCACTTTGGTAGGCTGTCATGTCACTTTTCCCACAAAAAGGCGAAATTCTTCGTTCCGATCTCCCAAACTCAAGACCGACAGAATTATAAAGGGATAAATCATGACACTCAGTGCTCCATTAGATAAGAGGACCAGTGCCCACAAAAGGATATAATAATCATTTAATCGAGTTGTACTATATACCCACAAAGAGCCACCCACAAAAAAACATCATAATCATTTAATCAAGTTGTATTATACAAATTTGATCGATTACCCATTTTAAAAGGTACTCATTAATTTATTTTCTATTTTCTTTTCACTCAATCAATCCATTTCACAATTGACAAGCACTTTAGCAAGTCATTTTGACGGGGTATTGTAATTATTTAATTTGAGTTGTATTGTTGATGTTCATTGATCATCAATTTTAAAAAATGATTTTTTTTTTCGTATATTTCACTCAATCAAATATAAATAAAGAAAATATATACTTTTGAGAATGTGTAGCTTTGAAAATTTTAATATCTTTCTGACTTTTTTTACACGTATTAATTATTTTATTTGAGATGGCAACAGAACAAGAGTGTTTTCTATTCAGATAAGCCATCATCTACAATAAAAATCTTGAAGAGATTAGAGATGGTTGATGATGTTTGGTCCGAGTCCAACACGAGGAAAATACTAGAAGAGAGGAAAGAAAAATTCAAACAAAGAAGAATTTGAAAGCTTCCTTAACTCTTAAGGCCCAAGGCAGAAGGAAATTGCTTGATAATCTCGTGCATTGATTAATTGAGTTGACATTTTTAATATCATCTTATATATCGTCTCACAAATTCATCATATGAATATGAATAAATAAATATATACACAAGAGATCAAGTGTGAAGCTTCTCTCAGGTGAAACGTGTGAATTAATCACATCCTTTAGTCTTGTCAAAATTAACAGCCTATAATGAAAAATAATTTTTAAAAAAATATTTATTTTACGTAAGATCACAACTTAAGGTGCATAAGTTTAAAGTTTAAGGTGCGTATTTTCTAAAATGTATTGTTGAGAAGTTTCTAAAATTTCCTTTTAGTTTGAAAATTGTCCATTTTTGATGTGTGATTATAGTGCCATTTTCAAAATTCATCTTTGACTAATATTTTGCATGACTTATATGTTTAAATTAAGAAATGAATATATATTTGACTATTTTTCTTTTTTTTTTTTTTAAGTGAAGGAGGAGGGGTACACCCGAAATCAATATCTGATCCTAATAGAGTTGATGTTATTCAGAGTTCCCAATTCATCACTGCGGAGCATTTTCTGAATAGTCGTGGGAGGACTTTCAAACCACGTAATCGTCATATTTTTAATGATGTATAAACACCATTAGAATCAATGAAAACTATGAGTCCATCTTTGAACAATCAAATTGGGTGTTGCTATTTACACCCCCTTTGACTAAAATGAGGTATAAAGCACATTGAAAATGTAAAAAAGTAGTAAATTATAATAAATATATGGGTGGTGCAAATAGCCTAATGGGTGGTCAAAATGCTATTTGCACCACCCTATTAAATCTACATTTATGAGGTCAAAATTTAATTATTAAAAAAAAAAAAAAAAAAAAAAAAAAAAAAAACGAAGCAGCACCATAGCCTTCTCCGGTGAGAAGGGAGCCCAGTGGGTCACCTTCTCGCCGCAGAAGGCAACCCACACAGTGGGCTGCCTTCTCCGGCGAGAAGGCGACCCACTGTGTGGGCTGCCTTCTCGCCGGAGAAGGCAGCCCACTATGTGGGTTGCCTTCTCCGGCGAGAAGGCAGCCCACTGTGTGGGTTGCCTTCTTGCCGGAGAAGACAACCCATTTGCCTTCTCCGGTGAGAAGGCAGTCCATCGCCTTCTCACCGGAGAAGGTGACGGGGTGAAGGTTTTTTTTTTTTTTTTAATTAAAAAAAAAGAAAAATAAATAATAATTTTTGACCATATTTAATGCTGGCATTTACACCACCTATAAAGCTATTTGACCTACTAAGTAGGTGGTGCAAATAGTAAAATAGGTGGTGTAAATAGAATAACCCATCAAATTATGCCCATTTAGGCCCAATCATTACTACGAGGCAAATTTTAGCATGAACCATGAAGTATGTAGCGGTGTGGATCATGAAGTATGTATAATTCCAATTACATTTCAGTTTCATTTGACAATATTGCTATATTTTTCAGTTTTATTTTCTCTCCACACTAATTTCATTATTGCAACACTAAAGTATCATTTTAATTTTATTATATTTTCATTTGATAATATACATTATTGTTTGAGCTCTATTGTATGGTTCTGAATTTTAGTTTTATTTTCCACGCACACTAGCTAGTTTCATTATAGCAAATACTTAAGTATCATTTTAATTATATTACATTTTGATTTTGACAATAATGTGCTCTATTTTTTAGTTTCATTTTTCACACACACTAATATCATTATAGTAACATTAAAATATCATTTTAATTCTACTACAGTTTCATTCGACGATCATGGTCCATACAACGATCTGTGAACCATGGTCTCCTATATAACAAATGTTACTATACTTCATGTAGACATGCACAAATTGGCCTAGTAGCCAATATTCACTCTTCATGGTTACAAATATAACAATCCAAAAATATTAACATTTTCTTGAGTAAAAAATTCGCAACCATTATTCGAGGATGTATATTTGATAAACTCTGCTACAGAGTAATAACCCGCAAAACTCACATGAGAAGACATGTTCAGAAAAATGCTCCATCTGTCACATTTTACCTGTTCTGTTTACATACTATTCATTGAACATACAATTCTTTCTTCTTTAATTATTTTTTAAAATATTTTTTTTGTGTGTATTTTATAGTACTTTTAAGGGAAAATTGTACTTTTTGTCCCAGCCTAAGTTATAAGATAATTATAGAATTTTTCTCTGAGTGTTAGTCATGTTCACTTTTCGTCCTTGAATTATACTAAAATTGTAAATTTCGTCCCTAATGTTTTATTAGTAAAGTGACGAAAAGTACAACGTCAATGATAACTTAAGGACAAAAAGTGCAATTTTCCCTACTTTTAATAATGTAATTTCTAAATATATAAATTTCATACATACTTTTCAAAAAAAATAAATTATACATACACTAATACTAAATTTAATATTATAAAAAAGTGAGGGGCCGGGGTTCCTTGTGCGCACTGAGCAAGGGTCTAGCCTCTGTGGTTCATATTCAGTTGAGTTACCATGATTTACATCCTCCCAAATATTTCGTCCGGTCAGAGTGTGGGGGCCCTTAGGGTTGGGGTTCAACCTTTTGGAAGAATATTATAAAAAATAATTCAAAATACATTTAGTCAAGCCTGGTTAACATAGAATGGGAGGGATGGAGTATTAAGAAACTTGTATGAAAATAGAACTCTATAAGCATGGTTAGACAGATTGACAAACTGCATATCTGCAAATTGAAATATTGTTTTATTTTTAAAATGATTGGTTCCTAGCTAGAAGCACGGTAAGTGTGAGTTCATTATTTGAGTGCGGCAAAGCAGAAGAAGAAGAAGAAGAGGGAATGCTTGTTCTCGGAACAAAAGCTGGCTGATTAGGTCTTGAAAGGCTCGTGGATTCGCTGTTAAGCATGGTAAGTACAGTAGGCATCCTAGGACGATCTCCAGGACATTCTTGTACACATAAGAGGCTGATGTGTATGCACTTAAACACTTCTGTTTCATGTTTTGGTTCAAGTGGAATCAGCGATTCCTGCACAAACTCTCTTGTTTTTCCTTCCTTCCATAATTTCCATGCCTGAATATATATATCAAAAATAGTACGTATATATTACTAAATTTGACTAAGTATGCGTTTAGTCTCAAGTGAAATACTCACATAGGCTAATAGATTTGCAGATCCATCAGGGTGATAAAAACCAGAGCTTCTCCTCCCAGCATGATAACGCCAAAACTAAAGACACCTGACTTATTAAGTCCATCTGATGCATATTCAGGCGACATGTAACCGCTGTACATATTATATTGCACAATTACTAAATTAGCTGGAATAATATGATATTTTGAATTTGAAGGTGATTAAATTTGTTTTACTCACTATGTTCCAGCGACTCTGATGGTATTGATTGCTTCTGTTTTATTCCCTTCAACTATTCTTGCGAAGCCAAAATCTGAAATTTTTGGGTTCATCTCTGCATCTAATAAAATGTTACTCGTCTTCATATCTCTATGAATAATCCGTAACCTTGAATCGTGGTGTAGATACATAAGACCTCGAGCAATTCTCAAGATGATGTCGAATCGCTTCTCCCAATCTAATAGCAGGCTTCGTTCTTGATCTAATGAGGATGGTGAATGCATGAATATTGCTTGGTAGTATTAGCTAGAAAAAGAAAGAAAGAAAAAGAGAATCAGATCAGATTGCAGATAGACTAACCAAAGATGAAGGTGTCTAGGCTCTTGTGTTGCATGTATTCATAGAGCAAAATCTTTTCTTTTCCCTTGATGCAGTAGCCCAAAAGTCGAACTAGATTCCGATGTTGAAGCCTTGCAATAAGCTCAACTTCATTCTTAAATTCATTGATGCCTTGTGAGGATTTATTTGACAACCTTTTTACTGCCATTTCTTTTCCATCCTGAAATTCACCCTGCAAAAGTATACCCATTGTTTGAAGTAAGCTAAGTCTATGAATACTACAATGCAATTCAAGAAACTCTAAGCAATTTGAAAAATTAAATTAAATTATAGTACCTTATAAACAGGTCCAAATCCTCCTCGTCCAAGTTTATTTTTATCTTAAAAGTTGCCCGTAGCAACTAATATGCTTTCAAAACT